GGCTTGAAAAAAAATAAATATGTGGAAAGATAGCCCATTCAATGTTCTACAAAACCCATATTAAACAATCTCAAATATCAAAACTTTTCTTAACTGTCGGCATCCTTTCATCATTGAGCGATGCTCGAAATCATTAGTTTTTTCTCAGTGTAAAAACAGTGGTGTAAAATCTGTTTCTATATTTTCATGTATATGTTTAATTCAACTTAGCTTATGATATCTATAGATAGAGAACTGTATGAACTACGCAAAGGCAATAATAGTAATACAGCAGCATTTCTTATTGTTTTTAAATAAAACCAATCCCGATACTTTTTGAACGTCCCTCGTATGTTCTAACCAAGCTTTGTCTGCATTTGACTTTCAGTCTGGGTTGCGAGATATTCCGAAATACGAGAAAAAATTCTAAATTTTGATATTTTTTTCGAACGCATACCGACTTTCCGAATTCTTCCGAATAATGACATTTTTCTATATTTGAGCTTTTGTCAACTTGACTACAACGTGTAATTTAAATTTTGACAGGACTTAATGCGCAATTGTTACTCTTTTGTAGTCATAATACGGTTCTGGGTTTTAAGACTAATAATCGCACAAGCCCACTTAAATCTTAAGCCTTTGCGAAGTATAAAACTCATCTTTATTAAAATAGATTATTTTTCATCAACGAAAGTAAAGATTCTCGAACTAATTAAGAATCAGGATTTTTTTCATTATTTTTCTTTCCTGTTTTATCTTTCGAAGAAATTGGTCTTTTCAAAATAATAGACGTGAACATTCTTCAAAGATTCAAAATAGAAATTTCCAGAATGTAATATTAATTATCTGATCTACTATTACTAGATCATCGATTTCAAAGACAGTTTTTAGAAACTTGAACTTGAATCATTTTACTGGAAAAATCGATTTACATAAATAATTTACCCAATATAAACTGAATCTTAAGTTTATCTATGTACTTTGTCATATAATTTCCATGCATTAAACTAAATTAGATTCATGTTTGAAAAGGAATATAAGTGAAATTGAAGAGAAGAAACAATAGCAGAAACTATTTTCAATTCAAATTGCCGATAGAACACAACATATTCAACAACGAAAGACGAAATATGTAATTTAAACATCTAATAACTGCTCTCAGAGTTTTTTCTGAAACCATATAAAAAAGTCTGAGTTTTCTGTACTTTTATAATAAAAATTCCGATTTATTAATTTTCGATCTAGTAATCCTGCTTTGAGTACCATTATAAAAGGTAAGTCGAGTATTGGATCTCGTTGAATATCCACAAACTTCGATTCGAGTACAAAAAAACTTCTTCGAAACCCTACTGCGATGATTTCTGTCATATTCCAACTCTGAATTCAATAGGATGTATATAAAAATCCAGTTGTCACATATGTTAGTGAACGAACGATTGATTTCTCATTAAATATTGTCAGACTGGTCGGATATAACAAGATCCGATTGGATTCATTCACCTAACATGTCTACATGCACAATATCTGCTTGGAATCGAAGACTATTTAGCACAAACAAACATGAAAAGCTTTCTCTCACAATTTTATTTTCAGGTGACAAACATGTTTCATTGGTTCTTATTTAAATAAGCTAAAAAAAAATACTATCGCTAATAAGAAATGATATAGTTCATATTTGAATTATTGTTTAAACTGTAAATAAATAACTACTAATAAAAGAGTAAGAGAATTATTTTTGTCGTAGTATAGAAGATAAAGTATTTTCTTTTCTTAGTATAATGATTTTATTTGAGCTAATTGAATTATATTTAACTTTCACAAATAACTTTCTTTTATTAAAAAAATTTATAATAAGTATTTATAATAAAGGATAATACTTATGAAAATTTTTTGGTGGAACAAACAAATTATCCATATGAAGTCTTTTTAATTGAGCACAAGTTCGACGTGTTGCATCATTGATAAAATTGTTGGTTACCATTACAAGTGATTTATATTTGATGTAGAGATCCAATAAACAAGGTAAATGAGTGTTTTTATCGACGAGAAATTGTTCAGCATAATCAACATGTGCTTCAACCAAATTGAGAAGAATAAGATGAGGAAATGTAATTAATGACGATGAATGTTGCTTGTTTTGTGGTAGTACACCATTATATATAATCAACTCTTTGAGAAAAGGTAAATCTTGAGAAATAACTTTAAATCATTGGTGTTGAAAAGGATGCGTATCATTTATCGTCAAGCATCGGACTTTATCAAACATACCACCTT